AGGCGCCGAAGGGAGCCCAGCCGCCGCACAAGAGGCCGACCGCCCACAAAGAGGCCGAGGCTAGGACAGCGCTGCAGAGCCGCTGAAGTCAGAGGCTCGGCGGGCCTCCACAGCGCTGAGCGCCGAAGGGTGGAGGCCGCCGCAGAGAAGGCGGCCAGCCACCCGATGACCTGGCGGCTGGGCTCAGCGCGAGGCGCCGAAGGGAGCCCAGCCGCCACACAAAAGGCCGACCGCCCACAAAGAGGCCGAGGCCTGGCTGCGGGCCGAGCTGGCTGAGCTGGCACGGGCGCGCGCGGCGCCTGCCGAGGGCCCAGATGGGCCCTCATCTTTTTGTTTTACTGAAACCCGGCCCCTCTCTCCCTTCTCTATGATTTACTGGTCCCAGGCTCCCTGTTTCCCTCGGGGCCGGGTTCCCGGGGCCGCAGTCTGAGCGCCCGCACGGCCCTGGTGGGCCGCTGCAGAGCGCTCCGCGCCCGCGGGGCGCGCGACAAGACGCTGCATAGCGAGAAACGCAGAAACGCAGGAGGAGGAGGAGGAAAAGGAGGAGGAAAAGGAGGAGGAGGAGGAGGAGGAGGAGGAGGAGGAGGAGGAGGAGGAGGACGAGGAGGGGGATGAGAGGTCTTGGCTGTCCTTCGGGCCTCTCGGAGCGTCTTTGATGCCTCGGAGGAGCCTCTTGGGGCCTCTTTGGTCTCTCGTGGGTCCTTGGTAATGCTGGGCGCCTTCCTGGTGGTGCTGGGTGCCCACTCATCTCGAGGGCCTTTCAGGGTCCGTTGGGACGGTCTGAGACGTCTCTCGGAGCGTTCGGGGCTCCCTGGAACCTTTTGGGGACCTCTGAGGAGGTCTCTGAGGGGTCTTGGGCCTCTCTCGGGTCTCGTTGGGCCGGTCTGAGGCGTCCCTCGGGGTCGTCGGGACCCAATAACTCAACGGAATGGGGGGGAGGGCCAGAAATTCCCCTCGCCCCCCTCGGGGGCTCCACAGTAGCCTCTCGGGACCATCTTGGGCCGCTCTTCAAGTACCTGGGCGCTCTTGGAGCCGTCTTTGGCCCGTCTTGGGGCTCTCTAGGGTCCTCCTGGGGCCTTCCTGAAACCTAAGAAACCAATCGGCAGCGAAAAATCGAGAAGCCCAACACTACTGATTTTCATTGGTTTTTGAAGGATTTTGGCCTCTTGGGAGGTGCCTTGGGAGGGGGGGATGGCACGTGGAACCCTCTTGGGGCTGTCTTTGGGCGTCTTGGAGGCTTGTCGGAGTCTATCTTCAGCGGTGTTGAGGTATCTGGGGCAATCTTGGAGGCCTTCTTGGGGTGTCTTTGGCCCTGTTGGAGCCATCTGGGGCCATCTTGGGCGCTCTGACGGCTCCGTCCCCCGCCCCCCGTAGGGGTAGGGGTCAAGCTACCCACCCGCCCGCAAGCCGTTTAGCTCACTTCCACCCGCCCTCCCAACACATCAGTAACACCCGAGCCTGACCATGTTCAGCGGTCGTCTTTGGATGGACAGCTACTGGGAACAGAAGCCGACCCCAGGTGCGCGACGCTTGGGTGAGGTGCGCCACGCGTGCCAGGGGCGCCACGCGCGCCAGGCAGCCCTGGGGCCTGAGCGTGCCAGGCACGCCTGGTGCGCCAGATGCGCCACGTGCTCCGAGTGCGCCAGGTGTACCGCATACTCCAGCCGCGCCAGGTGCGCCACGTTCGGGGCACGTGCAGAGTGCGTCAGGTGCGCCTGCGCACGTGACAGCACACATCGGGAAACATGTCGGCCCCCGCCATGCTTGTCGAAAGCCACTGCCCATCATTGTGTCTGGTGGGCCTTCGCACAGCAGGCCACGCGCCACCACCCCCGCCGCTTCTGTCAAAAATCACTTGACAGTGATCGCGGGATGGCTGCGCATGATCCAGATTTTTCCCGCGAGGTGCATGCTGTATTGTTTTTTTTGTTAGGGATTGTAGCCCTGCGCACAGCAGGCAATGTGCTGACACACCCGCCGTCCCTGTCAAAAACAGTACAACGTGCTTGCGCGCTTCACGGACATGACTCAAGACTTGGTCCCGGAGTGTATTTTGCATTGTTTTGACAGGGATGGTCGCGGGGGGGGGCCGCATCGGGTCGGCCGCGCATGCTCCAAGTGTGGAGGCAGAGCGCGGCTTGACATGTTTTTTTGACAGGGATGGTGGGGGGGGGGCCGCATCATTCCTGGTTGGCTGCCGCTCGCCTGGGGGAGGGGGTGTATATCAATAGGGAACAATGATCGAGGCCCCCCCCCTTTGACCGCAAGCCGTCTCGCTCACTCCCAGCCGCCCTCCCAACACACAACTAGCACCCGAGGGAATCTCAGCAAATCGCTTAGGAGCGCTACGCACGCCATGTGCGCCACGGGTTCCAAGTGAGGCACGTGTTCCACGTTTAAGCAGTATACCGGCATCCCGCCGCCCCTGTCAATAACCAATGCAAACTTGTCGTGGGGCGCCCGCGCATGTTCCAGATGTGGAGGCAACATGCGTTCTGGTTTGTTTTTGTGTCAGGGATTGGTTGGCCTGCGTTCAGCGAGCAATATGACGGAGCTCCCGCCGTCCCTTTCAAAAACCAATACAAAGTGGTCGCGTGGCGGGCGCCCGCGCACGCTCCAGATGTGGAGGATTAGTTTTTTCGCCGCCGTGCTTGTCCAAAACCAATGTGACGTGGTCGCGGGGCGCCCGCACACGCTCCAGATGTGGAGGCAACTTGCATTCTGCAGTATTTTTTGAAAGGGATGGTGTGGGAATTGGCATGTCTCGGGTTGGCCACAGTCGGGTGGGGGAGGGGGTGTATACGTGTAAGAAAGAGCGTGTTCTGCCGCTGCTGGCTGAAAACTGGGGGGGTCACTGGGGGTTCAGCCCGTCCCCCCCCCACCCTCGAAAACCGGGGGGTGTCACTATTGGATCGAAACCTCCCCCCTGGGTCCATGATGAAAAGGGGGGGGGTCACTGCCGTTTCGAATCCCCCCCCTCGCCGCTGGCCGGCAAACGACTCCCCCTCGTCCTCCACTCCGGATGGGGGATTGGTGTGGACGGTGGTTTGGACGGTGGTTTGGACGGTGGTGGGGATTGTGATGGGGAGTGGGGGCAGTGGGACAGTGGTTGGGACAGTTGGGACAGTGGGGAGAGTGGGACAGTGGTGGGGGCGCTGTCGGGGACAGTGGGGACAGTGGTCGGAAGAGTGGGGACAGTGGGACAGTGGTGGGGACAGAGGTAGGGACGGTAGTGGTGGGGACAGTGATGAGGACGGTGGTGGGACGGGGAGAATGGGGAGAGTGGGACCATGGTGGGGACAGTGGTGGGGACAGTGGGGACAGTGGGGACAGTGACACACTGCTAGGGGCACTGGTCGGGACAGTGGGGACAATGGTGGGAACAGTGGGACAGTGGTGGGGACAGTGGGGACAGTGGGACAGTGGTGGGGACTGGTGGTGGGGACAGTGGTGTGGGGACGGTGGTACAGTGGTGGCGACAGTGGGGACAGTGGGACAGTGGTGGGGACAGGTGGGGTGGGGACAGTGGTGAGGGCGGTGGTGAGGACGGTTGTGGGACAATGGGACAGTGGCACAGTGGGGACAGGTGTGGGTACAGTGGAGACAGTGGGACGGTGGTGGGAACAGCGGGACAGCTCAGTGGGGCAGTGGTGTGGGGACTGGGGACAGTGGGGCAGTGGTGGGGACAGTGGGGAGTGGTGACAGTGGGGACACTGGGGACAGTGGTGAGAGTGGGACTGTGGTGGGGACTGGTGGGGACAGCGGGGACAGTGGCGACAGTGGTGGGGGCACCGGTGGGGACAGTGGGGACAGTGGTGGGGACAGTGAGGACAATGGGATTGGTGGGGACGGTGGTGGTGGGGACAGTGGTGAGGGCGGTGGTGCGGACAGTGGACAGTTGTGGGGATCTGGAACTCGTTTGCCGGCCGCGAGTGGGGGGGAGTGTTCGAACCGGTAGTGACCCCCCCCTGGTTTTCTGAAGGGGGGGGGGAAGGGGGGGTTTGAACCGGTAGTGGCCCCCTCCAGTTGTTTGGAGGGGGGGGGGTTCGAACCGGTAGTGACCCCCACCCAGTAGTGACCCCCCCTCGGTTTTCTGGAGGGGGGGGGGGAAGGGGTAAAGGGGGGGTTTGCCGGGGGAAGGGAGACGGGGGGAGGTTCGAGCAGTGGGGGGACTTTCGGAGGGGGGGGGACCCCCGGGTTCCAGAGGAAGAGGGGGGGAATTTTCCACAGTAAAGCGGCGGTGGATCATGCTTTCTCATTTATACGTAGAAGTGATAAACCTCTCCCCCGAGCAAGGGAAGGAGGGGGAGAGAAGACAAAACTCGTTAAGTCGCGCACGCCCTAAAGGGCTGGTGGGATTTCATGTTATGGGTCTGTGAGGCACATCGGTTTTGTTGTTCGCTTCTTTCGCATAAGTAGTTTGCTTGGTCATCTTGACCTCGACCGCGGCTGCATTTCAGGCATTGTTGCGGGACTTCAGCACCCCATGAGCGGGCCCTAATCTCAACGTGCGCATGGTGTGCGCGCACTCTCTGTGCCGTGAGCGAACATGGCTCGGGTGCGCTACGCCAGCCGGTGTCTCACTCGCGTCCCCCACGTGTCCCCGGAGCGGCGCGGGGTTGGCGGCGGAGGTGCGCATGAAGAGTGGCACAAGGGTGGGAGGGGTGGCGGGAGTCGTGAGCAGGTCTGCCCAGGGTGCGTTGCAGCAGCGCCGCTGCAGGCAGAGAGAGAGAGAGAGAGACAGGAGGGAGGCAGCGGTCGCAGGCGAATCCTCGCACCCAATCCTCGAGTTCGCCCCAAACGCTAGGCCGTTTAGAAAAGGGGGGAAACTCGGGGATACACCCCCTGGTGGCCGTTCGGACGCACCCCTGTCGAGGACGGACGCCCCCCCGTTCGTATCTCCCCGAGTCTGGCCCGGAATTTCTGGTCCATTCGGAAGCCCCACAAAGTCGGGGATTGGAGCGGAGCGTGAGCAGTGCAAGCACAGTGCGCCGGTGAAGGTCCGGCACAGGCGTGGTCGGCCTCTTCGCCGCGGCGCTCGGGGCAGCCACCGTGCTCACCGACTGCCGGCCCGCTGGCCCGTGCGCGCCCCAGGGCTCGCGTTCGCGGAGGGCGGAGCTGCGGAGCGGATGATACAGGGTCCGAGAATGCACACCACCGTCTCCCTCCCCCCTTCCTTTCCCGGGCAAGAGGAGAGGAAGAACAGGCTGGAGGAGGGGAGAGGGAAGGAAGGTGATGGTGGTGTGTCTTCCTGGCACCCGCAGGTGCCCATCCTGAAGTTGCCTCTTCTGGTCTGGGGCCGGCAATGGAGCCGGCGTTCCCGATTGCGGCCGAGAGCTTGTCTAGGCCTTCAAGATGGGGTCGGAGTAGATGGGGTCGGAGGATCTCGCAGCATCGCCGATGCATCGGCGATGCGGCTCGATGTGGAGCATGATTTTCTTCACGCTGGCGTCGCCGATGCACCGCCGGCGTCGTCGATGCATTGCCGATGCATCATCGATGCGGCGCGAGCCTCCGACCTCATGTGCTCCGATCTCATCTGGGAGGCCTCTGGCTCGGGAGATCCGCAATGCTGTTCTGCCTCCTGCATTTTCTCTAGCTGTTGAGCGAAAGGGTGCATGGGTCGGGGTCGGGGCCGTCCTAGCTGCTTCTGAGGAGAGAGCCTCTTCGTGCGCTGGGCGCGTGCCAGACAAGGAGGGCCGAGGGGAGCCGCAGGCGGGGGATGTCGCCAATCTTGGACGCGTCTTGCGGTTTTCGTTTTCTCCGAATTCTTAGTCCCTTTTGCCAGTTTCACACTGCAGGAGCGGGCCAGCCAGTATCAGACGCAGGGTAGGCGTTCGCATCCCAGCGCCATGACAGGACGGTCTCGCTGAGAGTGAAAGCAGCAAACTATGTGGCTGGCGCAGGGTTCCCAAACAGTGGATTACTCAGATGGTGCAGCCCGCACTCTCCTGGGGTGCCTTTAAGTGTGCACCAGTCGAAGACACGGTCGAAGGAAAGTGGAGTCGACGGAGGGCAGTGCTGATGAAAAGCACAGTGTTCAGTTAGTGCTGGCATGGGGCTCTTGGCGACGTACGTCTTGCGCTGTAGACAATGCAGGATGTCTTGCGACTTGAGTCGCCTGGGCTGGCCGCCGAAGCGGCCAGTTGCGACTCTGGTGCGCAGAGGTCGTGAACAGCTCCTGATACCTTCTGAAATGCTGGCGGCGGCACCCGTGTTGGGCTTGTTACGGGCTTATCCGGGCTTATCACACTGTGCGGGCTTGCGTGTTTGGGTGGACTTGGTCGTGAATGTGTGAAGGGGTGGCGGAGCTGGCAACTTGGACTTTCCCGCACGCGCTTGCAAACTGCTATGCGTTTGTAAGTTGCTGCTGTACGGTAACTGCTGGCTGCAGCTGGTGCTGGCGGTAGCATGACACCTCTCGGCTTGATGACCTGACCGAGCCATGGTCATGACGAGATACCCATACTTCCATATAATTCCTGCCTCCTGGCCGCCTCCAACTTTCTTTTGCGGTCGTCCGTCATGGCCGCCTGCGATTCGACTCCATGCGATTCGACTCGCGGGCTGTGCCCGCGATTCTGATTCGGTCCGATCTGGTCCGATTCACTGGCTTCGGCCGGGGCAAGCTGGGGCTGGTTGCTGCGATCCGATTTCGATTCGAATCGGGACGATTCGCTGCTGATCCGATCCGTTTCCGATCCGATGCGGTTTCGCGATGCGATCCAGCTCGAGCGTGTCGTGTTGGTTTTTATCCTCAAGCAGTGCTTATACTCAGGGCTTCTTACTTGTCTTGCTAAGGGATTGGGTGGGCAGCCAGTGGATTTTTTTTTTGTGGCCGCCGCGTGACCGCCACGTGGCCGCCGGTGGCCGCCCCGTGGCCGCCCCGTGGCCGCCCGTGGACGCCCCGGGGCCGCCCGTGCCCGCCCAACGTAGCTTGCACAACACATCTTGCACCGCATAGCTTGCACCCGTGGGGGGGCCCTTCGTGGGGGCCCCGTGCGTACACGACAGGGTGCACACCACGAGTCTAGCACCACAGAGTGCACCCCATGGCTTGCACCACACAGCTCACATCACATGTCTGGCACCACGCAGCTAGCACCGCATAGCGGACATGTGTCATAGCCCATGCTGCAGTTCACACCACACATATATATATATATATATATATATATATTCATATGTATATATATATATATACACACACTATACACCCGCGCAAAAGGGCCCCGGCGCCCAGGGCCGCGACCTGGGGGGGTCCATGGCGGGACTGGGGCCTCCGAGACCGCTCCCAGAGCACCCCAGAGGGGTCGTGGAGCCCCCAGACTGCCCCAGAGAGTTCCAAAACGCTCCCAGAAGCCCCTGGGGGACTTCGACAAGCCCTTCCAAGACAGCCCAGATAGCCCCAGCGTGGCCGAAGATGGGCTCCAGACCGCAAATGCACAGCCCAAGAGGCCTCCAAGAGGCATCAAGAGACCTCCGAGAGGCTTCCCGAGAAAGCCCGAAGAGGCCCAAATCCTTGATTTTCATTTGTTTTTACGATGTCTTTCGGTGTCTCGCGTTTTTGACCTTCCGACGATCCAAGACGGCCGACGACGCCCCCAAGACCGCCCTCAGACCACCGAAGAGGCCCGCAACAGAGTCCCAAGACGACCCCAGGGAGCCCAAAAATTGCCCAGGAGGAGCCTCAGACGGCCCAAGAAAGCCCCAGGACAGGCCCAAGCTGGGCCCCAGAGCGTGAACGCGAGGCCCCAAGGCGCTCTAAGATGACCCAGATGGCCCCAACATGGCCCCACCCAGATGGGCCCAACACGGCCAACACATAGCCCAAGCGGCCTCCAAGAGGCCCCAAGAGAGCTCCGAGAGGCGTCCCGAGAGACCCCGAAGAGGCCCACATCCTTGCTTTCCCCCTCCCACCCCTCAAGGGCGGCCCCGGCAGAGCGAGAGCGTTCTGACTACGCTTTCCTTTGCGTCGATGGCATGGGCCCGAGAACGCTGGAAATCGTCGTTGTGACCACGCCAGGGCTTACAGCGGCACGCGTGCGTACTTCATCTGCGACTAGAACCTAAGCGCGCGCGTAGCGCGCGTGTTTCTAGTGTATATATATATATATATGCGGTGCATTGCGTACATCGCATCATCTAGATTGACTAGGGATCCGATTTGGGGGACGTGGCCTCAGTACAACAAGAGTGCGCCTTCCGCTCCTCCCGCTCCTGCTTCCATTGGCCCCGCGGCGTCCGCCCAGGCGCGGGGCGGCCGTCCTCGAGCGCCTGCGCAGCAACGCGGAGGCCAACGCGGCGCTCTGCGCCGTCGCGCCGGAGCTCTTGGAGCTGGAGTGGGGCCACCACGAGCAGCAGCAGGCGTGTTAAGTCGACGACACATAAGGTGACCCTTCGCTGGAGTGACCTTTGGTGCGGGCCCACTGGGGTCCCCCGATCGCCGAACGCGATGCGATAGTAGCGCCTTGCGCGCCTGTGGCTGGTCCCCCCGCGGCCCCCAAAAAGCCGCGCACCGAAGGTCACTCTTACCAAGGGCCACTCGTGCGTGCAGCCGATTAAGGATTCGGGTTGCGCGCAGACAGCTCCCCCAGGTTGTCCATGCTGTCCTCAACATGCCCCCCGAGCAGTCGCAGCTGGCCTCAACGCTCCAGGTGCGCCGCCAGAAGCCGCGCCCAAGTGTTCAGACCGCCCGGGACTACTCGGGGGTCTGTGGAGGCCAGCCCGGACTACTCGCGGGGCTCGTTGAGGCCAGCCGTGACTACACGGTGGGGCGTTCTGTACGCAGCCCGAAGCCTTACCAAGCAGGGGCACGCGTCAGAGTGACCCTTCGCCGAAGTGACCTTTGGTGCCGTTCCACCGGGGTCCCCCGATCGCGGAACACGGCGCGGTAGCAGCGGCTTCCGCGCTCGGTTGGGCTTGCCCCCCCCCCCCCCGCCCTCTGACGCCCCCGAAGTTCTGTTTCAATGGTCACTCTCTTGCCCAGGGTCACTGCCCTGCGCGTAGCAGAGCGCGGAGAGGGAGGAGGACTTCGGAGGAGGATCCTTTCCCGTGCGTCCTCTCCAAGAAGCGGCGTTCGTTCTTCGACCGTGGCAGGATCTGTTCCCGCCGCACCTCCCAGAATTCGAATGTGATCGGCTGACACTGTGTGCGCGTCTCAGGCTCTGTAGAAATGGAAGACGAAGAGGAATCGTACGTGGGAGGGAGAGGGCATACAATGGAGAGGAGGGAGGACGGAGGATGTCGCCTGTCCCCCCGTGCACTCGGGCAGCCCTTCCCCGAGGCGAACTCGCGCGAGCAAGCTGATTGCTTGCCGTTCTGCCAGCTCTGGCAGAGTTCCGGGAGGCCAGGGAAGAGCGCAGTCTGGCCGCACTTACCAGCCCGAAATCTCCAGCGGAGGCGTCAGCGTGACGGCTCCGACGCTCCCCAGACACCTGGCACGGGTGCCTGCGATCCGACTCGATGCCACTCGTTTCGCAGGCTGGGCCCGCGATTCCGATACCATTCGATTTGGCCCGATTCTCCGGCATCGGCTGGGGCCAGCTGGGTCATGGCTAGGAGCGGCGATTCGATTTCGACTCGATTCGGGTCGTTGCGTTGGCTGTCCGATCCTTCCTGATCCGATCCGAGCTTGCGATTCGATCTGGCCCAGGCTTGCCTGGTGTAGGCTTGTCATTTTGGAGTCGAGGCTGGGGCCGTGCAGACCTGCAGGGCGGAGGGGCTGAATTCACAGAGGGGAGTTCTGCTGCGGGTTCGAGTGCTTTTTTTGTATTAGAACAGCTCTCTCTCTCTCTCTGTCTGTCTCTCTGTCTCTCTGTCTCTCTGTCTCTCTTTCACTCTGTCTCTGTCTCTGTCTATGTTCAGGGGGTTAAACAGACAAACAGACACGAATAATGTTTGCAATCGAGGACCCCAAACAGTTCTTGCATTCTATGCGGTGCATTGTGGTGCAATGTGGGCGATGCAACTGCTGTAATGTAATATCTGCGGTGCTACC